AAGGGTCCTCAGACCCTCTGAGTGGCCTTATCAAGGCCACTCAGACCCACCATATAACTCTATTATGTTAAGAAAGCCATTAAATTTGTAAAAAAAAAATTTCCTATATTTTTGGTATTATTCATATGAAAATGAGATATTTGGAAGATTCAACTTTTCAGGATTCTAGACATACAAAAAATTCTATAAATAGTTAAAAATTAAAAAATTGAATAGATTTCTATGAAAATTTTAAATATGTATTTGAAATCCTCAGGACAATTTTTTTTATTCCTTTCAAACCTCTTATTTACTTTTACCCACTACAATTTACCTTTTGTATATATTCCCTTCTTCCAATAGAAGGGTCCTTTCGAAGGGTCCTTCAGGTTTTATGACTTTTTAACGCAAAATATAAAAAATTATTTAAATTTAAAAAAATATTTTTTAAAATGCTATATTTGTAATTATTAGATTTTAACGATTCCAATCATATAAAACTTTATGAAAAAACTTTAAAATTACATAATGATTATACAACAATCTACTCCATTAATTAAAATTTAAAAATTTTCTCTGTAATTTTACATATACAGTGTATGCGAGGAAAAAAACCTACACTGTGTGGAACATTTTTACAGGATCGATATAGTAACTGTACATTGAGGTTATGTGGATTCACTAGCGCCTGCAAAATTACTAAAAGTTGTAAATTTAATAAATTTAACTAATAATTGTGATTCGAAGTACCCGATGTAACAAGAAGACATACACGAAACGAAATTAATTTAATTATAACAGATTTTTAAAATAGTTGTTTATTAAACGAAATCAGGCAAAAAAATGCAAAAGTAAACAAATTTTTAAATTTAAAGTAAATTTAATTGTCGATGTAGTTTTCTATCAATATGTGATTTTACAATGAAAAAATTGCTTTTTTACTTTTTATTTAGAAATTTTACAAAATTCATGATATTCACATTTTCAAAATGTAAATTAACTAAAAAATGTAACTTTACACTCGTCCATAAAATTACATTGGGACTGGAATTTTACAATCGCCATTTAAAATCGCTCTACACTGTACTGTAAGTTTACGAAATCTTGTATTTCTAACCTCAAAATCATTAATATTGTCAAACTGAGTGCAGTAAAATCACATAATTCTGTAACAAAATTTGCTACAGAGTCTTGTGATTCTACTATTTAAATAGTAAAATTAAAACCTTTTTTTACAGTGTACCCTATTGAAAAAAAACACGTATAATTATACGTATAATAAGACATACGAATTTGAAACAAGAATTATACGTATAATTATACGTATAATTATAATTCTATTAAAAATAGAATAATAGAATAGAATAGATTAATTAGTATAGCAAAATTGCGCTGAAAATTTTTAGAAATTTTAAAATGCAAATTAAATTTCACGAAAAAAAATATCGTCGAATGTCAATTCAAGCAGTCACCCATCCAAGTACTAACCGCGTCCAACGTTGCTTAACTTCCGTGATCTGATGAGAACTTGTTCCTTCGCCTTGGTGTTTCCGCTGTCTTGTCTTGATTAATAACTTTGTCGTATAAGTATTGTATCGCACCTAACCTCACTTTTAGTGATACAATTTTAGTGATCAAGACAAGACAGCGTAAACACCAAGGCGAAGGAACAAGTTCTCATCAGATCACGGAAGTTAAGCAACGTTGGACGCGGTTAGTACTTGGATGGGTGACTGCTTGAATTGACATTCGACGATATTTTTTTTCGTGAAATTTAATTTGCATTTTAAAATTTCTAAAAATTTTCAGCGCAATTTTGCTATACTAATTAATCTATTCTATTCTATTATTCTATTTTTAATAGAATTATAATTATACGTATAATAATACGTATAATTATACGTATTATTATACGTATTATTATACGTATAATTAATTATACGTATTATTATACGTATAATTATACGTATAATTCTTGTTTCAAATTCGTATGTCTTATTATACGTATAATTGTACGTATAATAATACGTATAATTATACGTATAATAATACGTACAATTATACGTATAATTATACGTACAATTATACGTATAATTATACGTATTATTATACGTATAATTATACGTGTTTTTTTTCAATAGGGTAGTCTCATATTTGTTGCAAATCAAAATAAGGATGGAGTTACATGTTGATATAAATGCAGAATGCAAAACCGAAAATAATGAGAGTGAAAAGGACAGAGATATATCACTATCCTTTTCACTCTCATTATTTTCGGTTTTGCATTCTGCATTTACATCAACATGTAACTCCAACCTGAGCCAATGCTAAACGACATAGACAGTAGCGCCACCAACCTGGTTCATTTTTGTTGAACATAAAAATGAGCCGCCTACACGGCTTATTCTGAGTTCAGTTTTTTTCTGTGCACTAGTATCACTAGAATTTACCGAATTTGGAGAAACATCCAAGACATGAACCCCGTCTTTTCATATGAAATGCCTCATATGTATATGACCATATTTAATGAGTAGATATATTGCTATACTAAAGAAGTATATAACTTATCGGTCTCCCAAAGGAAAAATTTGCAAATAATGAAAAGCTTAAAAATATTGAAGAATTCTTGAAACTAATATATTTTTTAAGAAGTCAACCAAGAAAACTTTCTAATATCTTCAACCAAATGAAATAGAATGGGTATTAGCAAGAATTTTTCCCACGTTCATGTCTGACCTAGACGTGTTTTACAACTTATTTAACCGATTGATTAAGAATCCTGTGAGGATTGCTATATTAGTGGTTAAAAAATTATATGAAATATAGAATTTCTTCAATTATTATGCTCTCGCTCTGTTGTACAAAAACAGCAGCTGGTCTAAGAAAGAAATTTGAAAGTATCAAGCGGCCTTGTGTTAGATGCAAACTGTACATGTCGGAATGTAGTGATTTAGACACTGGGTTTGATATATATATTTCTATTCTGCGTAAAATGCATTTGCCAGGAAAATTAAATTGATGAAGCTTTTCCTCACAACATAAATTAACTTCCTTTTATTTTTTACAACACACCTTACATTACATATACATATAGGCATTGCACATAACAATATTCATTTTCGAATGAAGTTAACATTACTCTAGAATAGCACATTTCTGTTAATTTTTTCTCTTTTCTTTCTAAAGCAATAAATGATAATGTAAAATTCAATTAACTTTATTATACAACAGTGCTTCTGTTTTAAAATATGCACAAATTGTAATACAAGAATAATTACAAGCTTACAGCAATTTTTCTTGTCAATCTTGTAGAGGTGGGTCATTTTGTGATACTCGGGCCAAGCTTTTGTATTATTTGGATATTTGAAAACGCTTTAAAGTTTTTTGATTTTCGGCACGAATGTTTTTTACACTTACTAACTTTTCATTTTGAATTTTCTTCAATGAAAGCTTAACTGTAACAATTGGTATTCAATATTGTAATGCAATTGATTTTATAGAAAAATTTTTCTTGTTTTTAAGAAACTAAACTAAGAAAGGTGAATGTCCCAACGGACATGAAACTTTTTCTTTCGATCGTATATTCAATAATGTTACAGCTTCTCAAGAGCTCAAGTTAATACAGTTCACGTACTTGGCAGTTTGACAAATACATAAGTTTCTCGTCTACTTTCGGATTTCTTTCTGGAAATTCTGCTCAGAGAACTAGTGTCTTTTTCATTATAAACTGTCTAAAGTTCTAGTTTGTAAACTAACTTGAAGTTTATGTAACTTTAAGCCGTATATTTAAAATATGATACTTTAAACTAATTTTTATTATCATTTTTCAACATAATAATTTTGCATAGAAATTCATTCACATTGAACAAATTATCAATTTAATTAATAAACAGTTGGCCTCAATTTAGGAAACAAAGAAATGACAAAGTAAGAGCAATTAAAAACAGTTGCCATCCTATATAAATTAATTATAATTGTTTTTATGACTTGTGGTATGTATTTGCATAATATCAAAGTATGTAAAACGAACAGCCTTCAACTTGAACTTACAATCTAATATGAATCACACGTGATGATGACCGTGGCTTATAAATAAGTGAAATTAAGAATCACCATTTTCACTCATCTCACATTTACATTGTTGATCCTTTTCGTTTGTTTTATTTTATTTTTTTAAAATCATTAACACCTTGTTCACAATTATAAGAAAGTAAATTAAAGGATTTCACTGATTTTCTTTTTTATTTATTAAAACAAATTTATTACAATAATTTTAAATTTTGTGATTAATTAATTATTTTTACAATGAAGCAATTTTTTAAATACTGTGGAAATTATTTTATTAAAAAAATATAAATTTGAATTTTAAATAAAAAGCAACTCATTAATAAGATTTTATATATTATACATTTATTTTTTATATTTATTAATAGAAGTTTACATTCTCTTTAAAATAATTTCAACCTGCATAGATTAATATCACACGCACATAAGTGAAAATTTCACAGAACAGTGAAAGCAGTAAGATTTTATTTCAAATGTATATTGAAATTGATCAATTATATATTTTTTAACATTAAGAAATTAAATTTATTTATTTAGTAATGTAAACGACCTTATAAGAAATAAAATAATTCCTTTTATAATACCACATATTGTGTAAAAAATATTAAAAATTTTATATTAAAATATTTTCTTATTTTTCGCGTTGTATTTTTATTGAAAGATAACATTTTCTTATAAAATCACGTCTAATATAATATAATAACTAAAATTTCCATTTAAAAATTGTACAGTGATGAAATTAAAGGCTTTAAAAAGTAATTAACGATTCTCATCATATCTAATCTCATTTAACTATTTCTACAGAAAGTCATAACGTTTTTTCGAAAAAAAATTGTAATTTAATCTTTTTCAAACATTTTGCAATGATATTAATTATGACAGAGTTGAATGTTTCCTGAAAGTTATTTATTAGTATTGGAGCATACCAATAGCTGTGAATGTTATTACTTTTCCAGCTATTAGTCTGTGCCGCTGGCTGCATCTTGGCACAGTTTCCAGATGGAGATTTAACACACAAAGGAACTAGTTCACCAAGACGATTTAAGCCACATACACCTCGCGTCACACCCACTGCACAATCAGTTTTCGCCAATCAAAAATTCAGACGCCCTATACCTATAAAGTGAGTTTTACTTAAATTTTATTTATTTCACAAAATTAAAATATATAATTAAGTATACTATTTTCTTCAATACTTGACAATCTTAATTTTCCATATCCTTCTTTCAGCATGCCTTAAAATTCAGATAATTCGTGAGCTTGTCATGAAATATTTGCTAAGGTTTTGTAGCAACCTTGCCTCAGGCTTGTTGCAAATATCGAAATGTTCCACTATACTGCAAGGTTGCAATTAATGATTATTGCAAGATATTCTCCAAGCAGCACGGAATATTGCTTGAATGTCAAGGTGGTTATCAAGCGGGAATATTCTTGTGACATTCAGGCGATATCATAATGTCCGCTTCATGGGTACATTCCACGGTGATATTCCTGTGACATTTGCGTGATATTCGTATATGATACTGAAGGAATATTCCCGTGAAATTCATGTAATATTGAGGGGATATCCCTGAGATATTGAAGGAATATTCCTGCACTGAACAAAAATTTATTTGATTCAAATACTTCAAATTATTTGAAAAATATTTATTTGGTTCAAATATTTTTTATTTGGATCCAAAAAATATGTAATTGATTCAAATAACTTGAATTATTTGAATCCCACTTATTTGAACCTAATAAATTGTATTTGGTTCAAGTAAATAATTAATTGAATTTAATCAATGAATTTAATTAATACAAATACAGTAGAATCTCGATTATCCGAGGTACACGAAAAGAAAAGGTATCGTTGTCTCAACCATAAAAATATTGTTGGTCATAATATTCCCGGTAAGAAGCGAAGAATTGAAAAGAATTCAGAATCTGAATTCCTTTGAATGGGTGATTTTACGTTTTTATTCAATTCCTCGATGAAGCAAAAAAAAGTAGAAAAATCTATTCTTCTTAATTGACTTGGCCAAAATTTATACTCTAAATTATACATGTAACCTGACGCAGTCAATTGCAAGGCATAAAGATACCTCATTTAATCTACAAATTTTCTATCCCTCTAAATACGCTCCTGATGTCATGACACAGTCAATTAAAAGGAATAGACATATCCACTTCACTCTCCAAATTTCTTATTCCTTTCAATTCGCTTCAGAAATTTTGATACTGTCGATTAAAAGGAATAGATATTTAAAATTTACTCTCCAAACATTTAATTTTTCTCTATTCGCTACCAAAAATTTGAAAATATGAAACTTTGCGCATTAAGAAGAATAAGAAGTTTGAATTCTTTTCTATTGACTTATATGTACTGGGAATAGAAAAAAATAGAAAAAATGATTATTCATCTCTCAATCTTGGATTTTCCGACGAGTTGACTCTGAGACTCGAACCCTCGACCATCATAGCTCTCAACCGCACTGGGAGCGCCTTAACGCGCTCGACCAGGGGAGGTTATAAAATTTTTTGAGAAAATGTCTCTTATAATGAACACATTAAACAGATACATATATTATTTTGTTAAGTCATCAAACAGCTTTTCAGATGTTCATTATTACAAAGAGTATATTATCCTATATATATTTTTATGAACATTAATGATATTAATTAATAATTTTGTCAATTTAAATAGTTTTAAATGATTAATTGTGTTAATAAATAAAAATTATAACATTTTTTCATCTTTACAACACAAAAATGGTATATGAATTTTAATACCTAATTTTAATGTGAAGTTTATTAACTTCGACATTTTAATTTAGAATGACATGGACATGAACTTAAATTTCAATCAAGTGAATTCTGCATACATTCCAATTTTTTCGAAAATAAATTAAGTAACAATGTTGATTTAGCAAATTTTTTTAACAAACTAATGTAATTTATACAATGCTAATACTTAATCAGCACTCAATTTTTTACCAGAATTTTCTTAAGCATATGGAAATATTTCCATATAATATAAATAAATAGTTCAGGTCTTATATATTGACTAATATTATTAAAATTCTATTTTACAGAATATTCAAGTATAAAAATAATTTCCCGGTAAGAGGCGAATAATTGAAAAGAACTCAGAGTTCCAATTCTTTTGAATGGGAGCATTTACGTTTTTATTCAATTCCTCGATGAAGCAAAAAAAATAGAAAAATCTATTCTTCTTAATTGACTTGGCCAAAATTTATACTCTAAATTATATACATATTATTCTTAACAACCTGACGCTGTCAATTGTAAAACATAGAAATGCCTCATTTATTCTCCACATTTTCTATTCTTCTAAATGCGGTCCAAAATGCGACATTTAAAATTTACTCTCCAAACATTTAATTTTTCTCTATTCGCTACCAAAAATTTGAAAATATGAAACTTTGCGCATTAAGAAGAATAAGAAGTCTGAATTCTTTTCTATTGACTTACCTCTACTGGGAATAGAGAAGAATTCATTTTTCTGATATTTTGATGTTCAGTGAGGAATTTGGTAAAAACGTAAAATCGCCTATTCAGAAAAATTAAAAATTCTTAACTTCTGCTCTATGTCTGCAAACTTTCAATTTTTCTCTATTCCTCGCTTCTTACCGGGTTGTTGAGGCATCCATACATATAGCTGAAGCAGCTTTCAGTATGGATACATTGACAAAAAAGAATGGTTGTGGCAACCATATAATATTTGTACCTATGATATGGATATATCAACCATAGCTTTAGTTGAGGTAACAATATTGGTTTGGATTTTAACAATTTTGTTATCCTATCAATTTTTGAATTGCTAAGGCCCCTATAGACGCCTGCGCACCTTGTCTGCGCGGTGATGCAATAAATTACGTCTATATTACTCGTATTAATTCCAAGCGTCGCGAAACGTGTATATATCCGCAGTCCTAAACATTTTCTATAATCATTTAAGAATTATATTGATCCCGGTTAATGTGTTTTTTAAGTTAAAAAATGGAAGCTGAGTGCATTGATTTCCTTAAAAAAAAATAGAATATGAAACTTCTGAAGTTGACTGCGTCCTTTTAAACAATTTACATTCACCTTTCCCAGTCATAATTTGTAAATGGGGAAATTCTTCAATGTTTACGACACTTAGGCACTTAGGTTTATTTTGTTAACGAATTTGTATTTGGCGATTATTTCAAAAAAATAAATACGTTTTTATGGGACTCAATGTTTTAAATTAATCAAAAATAACCTTATTGATAATATTAAACAAATAAAATATACATAAATTGGAACCATATAAAATGGTTGCTTCAACAATATTAATATGGTACACTAAATAATGGTCGAAGCATCAATTAAAAATGGTTGTCACATCCATATTAGCATTTGTATATTTTCCAAATATATGGTTCCCACAGCCATATATTCTAGTTGTGCTAACAATTTAAAGCTAGCTATTTAATATGGCTGGAGCAACCGGAGGTATGGTTGGGACGTATTTTTCAATATAATATGGTTGAGACAACCAAAGGTATGGCTGTGGCAACCATTGATTTTTTTCCGTGTACGATCTTTATAAACGGGTGGAATATTCTCATGATCTTCTAGGAAAATCAAAATGTCCGCATCATGGGAATATTCCATAGTGACATTCAGGGTATATTCCAGTGACATTAAGGGAATATTCCTCGGTGACATTCATGGAATATTCCAGTGACATTAAGAGGATATTCAGGGTGATATTGTGAAAATATTCCAGTGATATTAAGGGAATATTCCACGGTTACATTAAAATGTGTTTTTAATCTTCCTGCTTATTCAAATAACAATTTATAACACATTTCTATTATTTCATCACTTAAAAAAAATTCAATATAACCGTGGAATATTCCTTTAATATTACCCTCAATGTCACTGGAATGTACCCTGAATGTCACTGAGGAATATTCCCATGATGCGGACATTTTGACTTTCCTGGAAGATCATGGGAATATACCACGGTGCACGGAAAAAAAGGAATGGTTGGGCCAACCATAGGTATTGATAAATACGTCCCATCAATATTATATGGTTACCACAACCATATCTTTAGTTGATACAACCATAGTATGGTTGGCGCAACCAAAGGTCAGGTTGACACATCAAATTTGCAATTTTTCGTCATTTTGATGTGACAACCTAACCTTTGGTTAGGCCAACCATACTATGGTTGTATCAACTAAAGATATGGTTGTGGTAACCATATAATATTGATGGGACGTATTTATCAATACCTATGGTTGGCCCAACCATTCCTTTTCTTTCCGTGTGGTATTCAAGGGATATACCGTGCTGCTTGGGGGGTTTTCGGGGTCGCTGATTACGAATCTGGAATCAGTTTTAAAAAATTCAAAATGACGGATCCAAAATAACGGACTACTACACTGAGAAAAAAAGCACGCCGTTTCAGCGGTAAAGTCATGCAGTTTCTGCATTAGTGACACTGCAAACAGAAAACGGCTGTTTTTACATTGGAACACTGCAGTTTCTGCATTGGAATACACAGCAGTTTTTGGCAGTGCTGTACAAACTTAAAAATTAATTTTTAATTCTTTTAAAATACATTTCTTAAACATCTTATAGTTAATTACTATATAGTAATAACAAATGTTTTTATAATAATTATAATTTATTTCATAATAATATAACTTATTAATATATATTTATGCACAAAAAAATTAAGTCAAATGACAAATATAGAAATTAATTTAATTAATAAAATAAATTTTAAAAAAATAATAATAATAAAATAATGAATAAATAAATAAAAAAAAAATTAATATACGCACGTAGTTTTCGTAAAAAAATGACCTAATAATCAATTGCAAAGACATTTTACAATATATTATAGGTTAGGATTGTCCACTCGGCATACTTACTTTCAAATCTGTCAATGAATTGGTCCAGTTTCCAGTTATATAAAATATTTTTAACAAATTCATCCATTTTTCACTAATTATTATTCATAATAAACATTAAAATATTAAAATAATGAAAAAACGACACAATTAATAAATATACGCAAGCGCGTCTGAGAGGAACACAACGAACGGGACATGTGACACGGTAGTTATAGCAGAAAAC